GAGAGCGTGGTCGTACAGTGTAATATCTTCCTTGGCAGTGAGCTGTAGGAAAAGGTGCAGATCATCTAGCCAGGTTTCGAATTTGACCGGACGGCCCTCGGCGTCGAAAGCTAGAACAGGAGGACTAGCCATAGCGACAGCGGCAGTAGTAGAAGCAGTAAAGTCACTGAACAGGCGTGCGCAGGGTCAGCAGGGCCGGTGGGGCCTACAGACTGTAGTGGCGCACAAGCAGCAGTAGCAGGAAGTGTAGTAGTAGGATCTGCAGTGGTGCACAGGCGCAGCAGGCGGCAGCGAGAGCCGGCGCAGCAGGGGCGGGCTCAGCAGCGGTGATACGCGGGCGGCAGCGGGCGCAGCAGCGGCGGTGCGCGGGCGGCGGCGAGCTCAGCAGCGGCGGTGCGCGGGCGGCGGCGGGCTCAGCAGCGGCGGTGCGCGGGCGGCTGCGGGCTCAGCAGCGGCGGGCCGGGAGCAGTGCGGGCAGCGTGCGGGCCGGCGGCGGTCAGCGCACGAGCCGCGCAGGCTCAGCGCGGGCTGCGCGGGCTGCTCGCGGGCTGCGTAAGCGGGTCGCGGGCGGCTCGCGGGGGTTCGCGGGCAGGTCGCGGGCTGCTCGCGGGCAGTTCGCGGGCTGTGCGCGGGCTGCGCGGGCTGGTCGCGGGCTGCGCAGGCGGGTCGCGGGCTGTGCGCGGGCGGTTCGCGGGCTGTGAGCGCGGCGCGCTGTGCGGTTCGCGGGCGGCGTGACGGGGCCGATCGGGGCGCTAAGGGGCGACGCGACGGGGGCCGTGAGAGGCCGCTAAAAAAAAAAAAAAATTCGACGGGGCCGCAGGGCCGCTAGATCTTGCTAGATCGACGGGGCCAGCGGGGCCGGAAACAAGCGAAGGTAAGCAGGTAGGTAAGTCGGTGGGCCCTAAGAACAGTCCTAGCGAAGGACCTGCTCTGAAACCATGTCATAAATAACTGAGCAGGAATGAATAAACTAGAACAGAGTTTGGTACAAGTAGTAAACCCTAACTTTGTGTACCCCCTAAGGTGTAACCCACTACAGCCTAGACAATATAAACATGCAATGTTTGACAGATCTGCTGCTGCAAAACGCACATATTTTTCTTTTTTTTTTTTTTCGACAAAAGCTATGCGGGACCTGCAAAAGACACCATTGAAGCCAGATTACAATACTACAGCAAATCACTCATGGCGTACGGCGTTTTACTGCGCAATATCTCGCTGGTGGAGCAGCTAGGAATGCGTTCCTACAAAACAACATCTGTTCCAGGACTTGACGCATGGCGCCACCTCAACGATATGTACCAGCCGAAGAATTCAGTTTCGTTGAGCCGCTTCCCCCAGTAGCTACTGGAGATGAAAATGGCCCCGTTGCCAGAGCTTAACCCGATGAAATCGCAAAACTAAGGAGCTCGGTCTGCGAATAAATTTCCGGGAACATCGTGCTCACAGGCTCAATACTGCGAGGCGCTACTCCAGCAACAGGGTGCTATCTCGGAAGCCGGCCTATGTGCCCCCCTCCTCGTCGAACAAAGAGACATGGACCAACAGTGACCCACGCTGCGACGAGAAAGTGAGAGAATCGCGTTCTACGCCAACAATAGAAAAGAACTAAAGCCGCGGTGCCTTTACTTCAAGATTTGCATGAAATTCGGGCATTTGGCCGAGCGATGCAAGTTCCGCTCCGCCCCTTGCTAGTCCAATCCGAGCACTTTGAGCCGGCTGACAAGATGCACGACATGACATGCGTCAAGCCCAGACGGCCAGCCCCATCGCGCAACCTGAACCCAACGGTTCAGATCAACTGCAACTATCGGAACCCGGTAATATGATGATGACTCATACACGCGGAAGTCGTCGTCACTGCGTGCGCACTCTGTCACGTGAACCTGTGCCTCATCCTATTGGTGCCTTTGTTAGAAACACTAGGAGTGGGGCCTAGGCTTAGTAGCCTAGGCCCACACTAAGAGGAAGGAGGTTGCGCCCTAGAGCTAGGGTTTGGGGTATACGAAGGAGAATTGGAGAAGTGAGAATGGGAATGGAGAGAATGGATGATTGAACTAGCAAGCAGCAGGATACAAATAGCAAACCCTAAGGAATTGTACTCACTATTGAGCACCCCACTGCAGGCTAGACAAATAACATAATCTGACAGCCTTCATGGTCAACAATTCGTTTACCTGGTGGAAGGCGAATTCATCGTCGCAATAATAGCGATTCGCGATTGTCTCTACTTGCAGGAACTCTTGCAAGAGGAAAAAAATCCAACTTCGCCATCCTTTTGTCTACACTGCAAGAACCAAAGCGCGGCCCGAATCGCGAGTAAACCAGGATTCGTCAACCGTACCAAACATATTGCGCTGCGGTACTTCTTCGTCAAGGATGAAGATGACATGGGCAAGGTCGATCTGACCTATTGCCTAACAGGTGACATGGCAGCCGACTTCCTCACGAAGCGACTGCCCCGTCAGCAGTACTAGCACTGCTCCGAACTCAGCAGAGTAGTCAAGCGAGTTAAGACTAGCTACGACGAGGAATGAAGGGGGGTGTTGCGAATAGTAAAATGAGAAGTGTTACTGTGCATTCTTGCCAATAGCAAGAACGAGGAACATAGAAGAGAGTACGAAGGCGATGGGTCGAAGCGACGTGCACGGTTACAAAACATCTGGACCGAGTGAGTAGACAGCATTCGGCAACAGCAGGAGAGAGGAATTTGATGGGAACAATTTCGTAACTACTCGCGCCGCACGGTTGGGCTTGAATTTGAATAAGGGAATGTACCCCTTATAGTACATGGCTAGTCTAGCACTTCCGTATTCCCCTGTACTCTTACCGTATGGCCCCGGATATAGGCGCCGTCCGATTAAAGGCGCCGGCGCCTCTATCTGGAGCATGGCGCCTATGGCCGGAACTCGATTATAAGCGCCCCCCTGTAAAACCCTGATTTATTATAAGCGCATGCATGATTTTACTTTTCAATCCTGATTAAAACGGTAGCGAATTTCAGATTTCAAGCGAGTCAGCACCCATTTTCCACTTTATTTGACTTTCGAGGTCCTGACTGGTTGCGCGTCCAGTCAGGACGAGGTGGCACACGGGCAAATTGACGTGCCAAAAGCTATGTGCAGCGTCAGAGAATCGCCCTCACGCGATTCAGGATGATTCAGGACGCTATAAATTTCGACTCGATCAAATTTACAAGACTGAAATGTACAATTTGATGCGTTTAAGTTGTATTTCTGTATTTCTCATCTTATAAGCGCCGGCGCTTATGGCCGTGATTCAATTACAAGCGCCACCCCTAAAAAAAATCGCTTTTATTACAAGCGCAGATGCGCCTATATCCAGGGTAATACGGTTTATAGATCGATGTAATTTAATTATCTTAATCATTTTAAATCCACTTTGATCTGATGCAGGGCCTATGTTATCAGGATAATTTATCCTGATTCTCCTGAATTCAGGATAGGTAACGTGTGCTTCTCCTGAAAAAACAGCATAAGGGAATATCTTGTCCTGTAAGATCAGTATAATGGTTATATTGCGTACTGAAACTTCAGGATAACCCTGTAGGTTCGGCCCTGACGACTCAGGATAGTGTCGAATCTCGCCCTGAAGCGAGATGTACTGTACCAAACCTCTCCTAGGTTTCGGGCCTAAAAGTATACTAGGGGCTTGCACCCCGAACAGACCTCTCGAAGGCAGAGGGAATCGAGCTGGAGATCTCTTAAATTACAAACTGGCACCTCACCCACTACAACACTTCACGTGAGATAATTGGCACAAAATACAGCCCAGCATCAAACACTTCGAATGTGGATAGCATTTCGAATCCCGCTAACATAACACGCGCGAAACGTACAGGGCTGTACGAAATGTAGCACTGAACTGCCAGGATACAGTCAAATTTCGCACTGACATTTCAGGATACATAACCCTTTGCAGCCCTGAAATTTCAGGGCAATTTCTGATTTCCTCAAAACTGCCCTGAGGCCTCAGTGTACCCCCAAACCAATCTGAGGGCCTGATCTGATGCCAATATCTTTTGCTGCAACACTCTATTACTACGAACCTTCCAGAGGTGATCCTAGGCAACGATCAACCTTTTGATCGCAACAGGAAAGTAAGGAATGTATCTCTGAGATGCTCAATCAACCAACCCGAAGGGCCACCATCGGTACCACGTGGGCCTGATCAGCTGTGGATAAGAGTTTGAAGTGATAGAGGCTTTCCATTTACGAAGAGGGTGTGCGGCACAATTCACGAGGCCCGTGGTTGGCCTCTTTTCTGCTACTCCTAGCCTCGTCTTTGCCGTTAGGTATGAACAAAAAGCAGAGGCAAAATGGGGTGTTCCGAGAATTGAACTCGGGACCTCTCGCACCCTAAGCGAGAATCATGCCACTAGACCAAACACCCGCGCCCACATGAAATTATAAATTTATTATATTATGTTGTTTATTGCTTTTCGTGAGTATCGACTTCACCCGCGTGTCGCGCCTATGCTTGCCTCCCATTCATCCGTTGTCCCTTCTTTCGACCTCAATTCAATGGCGTCGTCTAGGGAAAACGAGGCACTTCCAGTCTGGAACGCGGAGTACTTGTTCATGGGATGGTCAGAATCGCACGCATGGGCTCGAATCCCTCGCCTCCACCCAAGTGCCTCGAACCCGTCAGTCGTTGAGGCCGACACTCGGATCTCCGCCGTGCCTATATATTGCCGCCAGCTTCACCGTCAGCTTCACCGTCAGCTTCACCGTCATCTTTTACGTCAGTTTTTTTTCCCGTCAGTCGTTGAGGCCGACACTGGGATCTCCGACGTGCCTATATAACTCGCCCTCCCGCCCGCCATTCCACAAGGAACGACAGTCGCAAGCACGCGGCAGAGCGAGCCGTCATCGTAACGCAGCGCCACCACCAGCGCCTCTCGCCGCGCGTCGCCTTCGCAGTCTTCGATCCCGCTCCCCTTGCCGCGCGGCTTCGAGTCGACTCAAACCGCCACCACCATGGCCTCTCGCCGCTCGCCGCCCTCAGCATTGTCCCCGCTGCGCAGAGTTTCCCTTTCCCCCGCTGCGCTGCTCGTTCTAGGCCTGGCCCTTCTTGGCCTATCCTGGCCGTCCATCGCCGCGTCATCCCGGCGCGTGCTGCTGCAGGCCGGCGGCGCGGGATCGGATGGCGCGGCGGCGTTCGGGAGCCGCGTGATCTTCAACTCGATGCAGAACGTGGGCGTGCAGGACGGCGGCGCCATCTCGCTCACGCTCGACCGCACGGGAGGTGTGCATAGAGGGCAGGGGCGCGCGGGCAGTGCGGTAAGGGTAGTGCGGTGAGGGCAGTGCGGTGAGGACAGGGCGTGTGGAGAGACAGTGGCGGATAGTCGTTTGAGCTCTTGTCTCTCTCGAGAAACACGCAGCTGTCCTCTGTGCCTCCAGTCGTCTGAGCTGGGAGTCCAGCTGTAGCGGCGTGTGTGACTGTCATGCGCGTGACTAAGTTACGTTTGCTGTGCTGCCCTATGCTGTGCGTGCGTGTGCGCATGAGTGGCAGGAGCGGGGTTTGAGTGCAGCGACGCATACAGCTTTGGCACGTTCAGTGTGGACGCCAAGATGCCTGCCGGCTACTCGGCTGGCGTCTGCGCCACCTACTTCGTACGACCCTCCCAACCCGCTGCTTCCTCCTTTCTTTCTTACCTCTCGCATCACTGCTCTCTCGCATTGCTGGCTTTGTGGCAGAACGGTAACCTTCTGGGTCAATCCTCTTGCTGTGCTGCTCGCCTGCACGTTTGCACGCCGTTACGCCTGCATGCTCAAATCACAGCACACGTGAGCCTCTCGCCCGCCCTCCTCCCCAACCCCCAACAGCTGCAGTCAGGGTCATACGAGCAGCGCAACGAGTGGGACTTTGAGTTCCTGGGGTCGCCCAATAACTCGCTGGGCATGACGCTGCAGACCAACGCCTTCATTGGCGGTGTGGGCGGCCAGGAGGAGCTCTCCGCGTTTGGCTTCGACCCCGCTGCTGACTTCCACACCTACTCCATCCAGTGGGGGCCTGACCAGACCGTGTAAGGACTCACTGTCTCTCCCCTGATAGCACCCCTTCCTTTGCTGCTGACTTCCACACCTCACCATCCAGTGGGGACCTGACAGACCGTGTAAGCACGCTCCCTCCACTGCTGCTGCCCTCCACACCTACACCATTTGAATCTCGCGTCCCCGCTTGCTTTCCCGTCTGCATGGTTCTTGCAGCGCAAGGCTCAGTCTGATGGATGAGTTCTTGCATGCGCCCTGCACCTCTTGGTTACTGCTCTGGGCTTTGCACTCGCATGCGCTAACCTGTGCTCACATACGTGCCGCTTGTCGTGACTCCATGCGGCGACTGATGGGCAACAGCTGCCCTGTGTACCCCAGGGCCCCATGAGCTCACATGCACTCACATATGCACACATACGCTCACCTGTGTTCACATGGATGCCATACACCACCATATCGTTTGCCCTCAGGTGGCTGGTGGACGGGCAGGTGCGGCGGGTGATGGGCAGCAGCAACCCGGCGTACCCGCGGGACCCCATGCGAGTGTACTTCAGCATCTGGGACGCCTCCACGTGGGCCACCGGGCCCAGGACGGCTCGCATCCCCGTGGACTATAGCTATGCTGTGAGCCTCCTTTTATGCCTGGAGCCCAAGACAGCCCTTCCACGTGCCCTTCTCCCTTGTCTGCCCTCGTCCTTGCACCCCCGCCTCGGCCACCGGGCCCCGGAGGGCGCGCATCCCCGTGGACTACAGCTATGCTGTGAGCGAGCGCTCTTCTCTCCCGTTGCTTGCTGTGTGCACTCACTCATTCATTCTCGCACCTCGCCCTGGGCCACCGGGCCTAGGGCGGCCTGCATTCCTGTCGATTACAGCTACGCTGTCAGCGCCCTTCTGTGCTCCCTGCTACCCTAAACCCTGCCACGCACCCTGCCACTCGCCCTGCAACGCGCCCTTCTCCCTTGTCTGCACTCATTCGTGCACCTCGCTCTGGGCTGCCGTGCCCAGAGCTGTGCGCATCCCCGTTAACTACAGCCATGCTGTGAGCGCCCCCTCTCTGGGTCCGTTCTTGGAGGGCTTGAGGTCATGCTGTATAGGTGAGGGTGGGCACTGACTGGTCCCTGTGTGTGTGTGCGGTGCGGTGCTGCGTGCAGCCATTCGTGGTGACGTTCAGGAACTTCAAGTACACTGCAGCATGACGGGTGCCGTGCCGTGCAGGCAGGGCTGTTAGCCGGATGACATGAGTGTTGCAGGGGATTACTAGCATTGTGTGTGCTGTGCAGTGAGAATTTTCAGAAATGATACGGTACTTGCAGACTAAATGACTCGCGGTTAAGTCATTCATGTACGTCATACTAATGGCTCTCAAGTATTTGATACTGTAGTACCGTAATCTCCCGGCAAGAAGACCCCCCCCCGCGTACAAGCCCCTGGGTCCTTTATCCGGACCAGGGGTCTTTTATTATGTCATTCCTGTAGAGGACCCGTCTTTTGACCCTATTAAATATAAGACCCCCGCTCTTTTGCAACGTGCTAGTATGAGTGGTGTTTAGTTCATGAGCTGGTTAGCGAGTCACACAAAAAACCACCAAATTCACTTTGTCACGAATTTGTGGTCAAGGGAGTCAAGATGCCGCATCAATCACGCGTTTTTGCCGCCCTTCAGGCAAGAATTGCTGACGTGCATGTCATTATTCGGCATTACAGAACGTGCGGATAGGAATCAGCGAGACTCTGATTCCGCGCTGTGAAGGAATTCAAAATTCAGTACAGAAATTTTCGAATTTCTTCAACACAGCACTCTACACAATCCATTTTCTGGTAATTACCGTAATAGATGTCCAGGGGTCTTATGCACTATATGCCATCACAGAAGACCCCACAACCATTTTTGGCACATTTGGGATAAGACCCCCGGGTCTTCTAACCGGGAGATGACGGTATTTTTAGTGGCCAACATTTTGGGGGAAAAGCTTCCTACCACCTGAGGCCAGATCCACTGTGTGTGTGTCACAGACTCATGGCAAACAGCAATTCCCCTCCCATTCCTTCCCTACAGAGCCACTGGCTCACCAGCCAAGCAGCACATGCTGCAGTTGCAGCGAGCACAGCCATCACATGCCCATCATCCCTCCTCCACCCACTACCCCATGAACATCATCCCTCTCCGTGCCAGTCTCCTCACATGACGGTTGCAGTAGCTGCCACCACACCTGCCCATCCCACCTCGCCAGAAGAGCAGTCAGGCATGCATGCCCCATGTGCTGCAGCCAGCACACCCACCACATCCTCATCACGCCTCTTCCACCCCACCCCCATCATCCCCCGCATCACCATCCTCCTCCTCATGTGCTGGCTGCAGTCGCTGCCACCGCTCCTGCCCGTCCCATTTCCCCTGAAGTGCCGCCAGCCAGGCCCCGTGCCGCTCCCCCACCGCCCTCACTGCCGCATCATCGCTCTGACAGCACACACAGGAATGGAGGGTGGGGGAGGGGAGGTGCGGCGAGGGTGGGATGGGGGGATGGGGGCATGCTTGAGCAAAGATGTATAAATGGTACAACAGCCTTGCATTCATCTGCCTTGCATTCATCTGGCTTGCTGTCTCGCCATCTAGGAGACACACTACAAGAGGTGCATGTCTGCATACAGCGTTGCATGCACTGCTGTGAGTCGAGCAAATTTGCACAAGTGGAAACACAGAAGGAAGTGCATAGGCGAGCATGCATTATTCCTGGCACAACTCTGAGAGTGTTCATGATAAAGGCGCATGAGGAAAGATGGGTACATGTGCAGGGCCCCACGCATGTGTGCGCAGGTGCAGGCATGCACCCACCAGCAAGACATGCACTCACCTGGTGAGGCGGCGGGTGGGGGCAGATGGCAGCGTGTAAAGCACTGGCGAACTGACTGCGGCGAGGGAGACGAGAGGGGGGAGAGGGAGGACAGAAGAGTGACACAGTGTGACAGCTTGAATGGTGGGGAACGCAAGCAGAATAGAGAGGAAAACGGATGAACATAAATGTGGATGTAGTCACACATGCACATACAGAAACACAGGCACACGCTCAATGCACACAGGAACGCACGCACGCACGCACGCACGCACGCACGCACGCACGCACGCACGCACGCATGCACGCACGCACGCACGCACACACACGCACGCACGTACGCACACACCCACGCACGCACGCACACACGCACGCACGCACGCACGCACGCACGCACGCACGTACGCACACACACACGCACGTACGCACACACGCACGCACGCACGCACGCACGCACGCACACACACGGGCAGTTCCACATCCAGATCAGAACGATCCAGAAACCAGAAACCAGAAACCAGAAACTAAAGACGATCCGGGTCGTTGGTACGGCGTGTGAATAATACAGATGGCAATGAAGGGCCAGAGAGTGGAGGCTATCGACAGCACTCAGCACTGCATGTGATGGCGTCAGCACCTGATGAGGATGACGTCATCATCACTGACATGGGTTGCTGGCATGGTGGCAGCAAAGTCTATGAGCGAATCTGATGGGCGCACAAGGGGCAGGCATGCAGGGGGAACATAGACGAGGGGCTGAGAGGAGCAACGAGTGGGCGGAGGGATGGACTAGACTATGTGGACAAAGAGGGGAAAGAGGGTTGAGAGAAACACCAGAATGTGCAGATGGAGGGGTGGAACGGCGCAGTAATGGATGCAGAGCAAGGGCTGGGAAGGGCGGGGAGTGGAAGAGAAACGGAAGCAGGAGTCAATACGACCACACCAACAGCACCATCACCATGCCATGTCCTGCCGTGACTCACACAGGTTCTCGCACATGCCCACTGCCGCCCCTGCCTCTGCTCGCCCCATCTGCCTCTCCTCCCCTTCTGCCACCTTTCTGCTGCCACCCCTACCCGCTTCACCCTCCCCAGCTGCACCCTCCCCGGGTGCACCCTCCCCAGCTGCACCCTCCCCGGGTGCACCCTCCCCAGGTGCGGGTGGGAAGGACCCCTGGTGGCGGATGGCAGCGACAACGAGGTTGAGAAACTGATGGCGCTGCTCGCCTGGTGGGGTGTGGAATGGGGAGAAGGTAGTGGGTGAGGGGGTGGGGGGGACGGTACGTATGGCATTGCATGGCACCGGCCAACGAGGTTGAGGTGAGGAACTGATGGCGCTGCTCGCCTGCGAGTTGTGGGAGGGGAGGGGGTGGGGGGAGAGGAGATGGGGGGAGAGGGGGTGGGGAGGACAGTACATACGGCATCGCATGGCACGGGACGACGAGGTTGAGAAACTGATGGCACTGCTCCCCTGGGGGGTGTGGGGAACGGGGGGATGAGGACGGTCTGTACGATTGTGCATACATGATTCTACATGTGAGTAATACCAAAGTAGGGGGGATGGGGGATGCACATAGTGCGGTCAGGCAGAAGAGGGATTTTCAGTTAGGAAGGAGGCTTAGACGGGGTGCAAAGCAGCATGAACCAGCATGCCAGGATGGCATGGTATGGCATGCGACTTGCGGAGTTCATGTTCCTTCCTGACATGAAATGATTGCGCGAGATGAAGCTAGGAGAGCAAGCAAGGGCAACAAGGTGGAGGAGGCAGCAGAGGGAGCAGCAGAAAATAGGAGGCAGCAGAGGGGGCAGCAGAATATAGGAGGCAGCAGAGCAGGGTACCAGGGCAGAGGTTGGGGTCGAAGCAGTGCAGATTGGCGAACAGCTTCACCAGCAGCACCACGCTCTGCCACCCACTCCCCACTCCCCCCTCAGCCCCCTCCTCTCCACCCACACCTCCACCCTCTCCCTTTTTGCCCCCACCCTTCCCTCCTCCCTGCCCCCCACCTGCTGCCCCACTTGAAGCCCACCCACTCACTCCATCTGCCTCTGCTGCTGTCCCGCCCTCCCCTCCGTCCAACCAGATCACTCCCTCCGCCCAGTCACTCTCCTCCTTCCCTCCATCACTAACTCGCTTCCGTTTCTCTCCTTCTCTATCGCCCTCCTCTTTCCTTCTCTTCCTTCCCACCATCTGCTCATCCACTCGGTGAAACTGCAAGTTTCCTGCAAGCTTCCCAACACTTCTGCCATCTCCTGCATCAGCCACTCTCTCCCTCTCGCCCCGGCTGCCACTGCGGCTTTTCGCACCACTTGCCTCCTTATAAGCCGGCCTCGTTACAGCAACAAGCCCTCCCTCAGAGAACGAGAACGGGCCAGAAGAAAGCGTCTCTGTCGAATCCTCAATGCCAATCAGCCCACTCCTGCCGTTTTCCACCCCTTCACCCACCTCCTTTTTCTCCTCCCCATCGCACCTCACAGCAGGAGCGATAACAGAGGGGCGGTGCAAGGGTGAGGTGGAGCGGTTGAGGGAGTGCAAGTGCGAGTGAGTGAGATGGAGGGCGAGGCCTAGGGAGGGGAAGGGGCGGAAGAGGACGAATGCGTCGGCCTCTCGGGTGGCAAGGGCGCGCGTGAGCGGGCCGTGTAGCCAGCGAGATGCAAAGGCGGGCGAGGGGAGGGCGAGCAGACGCACAAGAAGAGGCGCCTGGAGGGGAGAGTGTTAGAATTCTGTGAAGGATGACTTGAGAACTCAAAGAAGTTGATGATTGATTGAGGAGGATGGGGGTATACATAGGAAGTGGGTTGGATACTAGCCTAGGTGAGCATTATTGGACCCCAACCAAGAAGTTGGGTTGGGAGATTATTGGTGGGGTCCAATAATGTTGGCCAAGTTGGAGTTGGGCCAACATTATTGGAGGGGACCAATAATTCTACCCAACCCAACCTTTGGGGTCCAATAATTGGACCAAGGTTGGGTTCCAACCTACAAACTGGGTTACTCCTGTTTGTACACCCAAACTAAGTTTGGGTGCTTAACTCTAGACAAGCGAACTAGCATATGCAGGATGAATAGAATAGAGGTTTTCTAACACAACCCCTCAGCCTGCATAGGGCTAGGAGGCTTGAATGAGAGACGGGGCAACCCCTGAAGCATGAACGCGATGCCAGGCAGAGAAGCTGAAGGAAAGGGGCTTGCGGCGTGAAGTCCATCTGCGAGCCGGGGGGGAGAGGAGGGGGGGGACCTGCTGACGGTGGCCAGCCGAAGGGGTAGTGGCGAAGGGAGAAGGCGGCGGCAGCGGGAGGGCTGCGACGACGAAGGGGGACGACGGCGGCAGCGGGAGAGCTGCGGCTGCGAAGGGAGACGGCGGCGGCAGC